CAGCCTGTCATGTCCGACACGATCAACAGCAAGACCACGTCCAGCAAGCGGACTCGAGTTTATGAAACGACCACCAAACCGGCTAAAGCCTCCTAGCTGCCCACGAGAAGAAAGCTCCATACTTTCAAATGGGCGACTAGAAGCAGAGCCATGGATCGATCCTTGGATGGATGCTGTAATATTCCAAGGCATTTGAGAAGATGCATCGTCCTGAAGTGATGGCGGTGCATGGCGGCCAATCTCAACTTCCTACAGAGATCAGATCAGAACCGGTGAGCTGAGGGATATAGACAAAAACTTTGTGACAAAGTTTCAGAGTTGGCACGCACCTCTTGCATCAGAACGTCCGCATCGCCAAACGCAAGCTCGTCTCCACGAGGAAGATCCGTCTCAATCTCCTCGTCCACGCGCGGACGAACACGCCTTCCTTCGTCACTGGACACATCATCGCCATGGAAGCTCAAGCCGCGTTTGCGTCGGGTATCATCGGAAACATCTTGCGCACCCAATGCAGCCAGAAGTTGCTCTCCACAGAATTCCTGGAGAGGATGGCTGGTACGAGAAACGCCGAGTCCCATACCGACTGAACCAATACCCCCACCCACGACCCAGAAGAGGGCATTCTTCTTCGCCTGTGTCAAGTCTTTGTTGTGCTTTTTCTGCTTTGAGGCCAGGGACATGTTCTGCAGATACTCATCCTCCAAACGGACTAATTCAGTCCGGCTAATTTGTGAGCATTCATCAGCTTCTACCTTTTTGCAAGCTCTCTTCTTTCGGGACATCCCAGCGTTGCGAGTTTCAGATGTCTCTTCAACTCCCTCTACGTATTCAGGATCAGAGTGACGTCCCGATCTCGGGGACCGTCTTTCAGGAGAGCCATTCATGTCTTCCGCCACGACATAGTCATTGTCGTGATCTAAGTCCATGGGCTCACCGTTCTGGCAGACTCAGAGTCAGCTTGTTTTACTCAAAATATGAATTATTTGTCACTTTACCTGTTGCTGGTGAGGCAAGGTTCCTCGACGAGCGTCTGCGCTCACTCGGTCTCTGACGGTGAGTTCACTTTGCTGGAGATTAGTTTGCTCATCTGCTCTGCTCACAGAAAGCTCATTCGTGACAAGATCCACAATATTACCGTCCTCGTCAAACTCAAAGTCAGGCTGAAGGAGCACGCCCTCTTCGTCTTCAAAAGCTGAACCTCTGAAACGATAATTGTCTTTCTGCGTAGAACTCGCTCTGTCACTAGCAAGAGTAAACCCCCCAGTCTCGCCTAGAGCAATACTCGGAGAAGATATGTCTAGCTGTGGAAGTGCATCTATTCCAGCACGAGAATGATCCGAGTTGCTTAGATTGGATGAAAGCAGGCTAGAATGAAGATTCAAGCTCGATTCTTTTGCGGTGTGAATATTGACAAGGTCAAGATTCAACCCCGGGAGGCTGAGCTCCGGTATAAACGCTGGATCGTACGGTACGATAAGCTCTTCGGGGCTTTCATGTCCAACATTAGCCAGCACTGAAGTGATAGCACGTATATACGCGTAAATATCTGCGAAGATAACGTACCGTGCCTTTCCAGCCTCTGGGTCTAATCCCCTTCCATGTATGACTTTCAAAGCCGTTTTCATTCTATCGTGCATGGCCTGCACATCCGTGAGTGTGTATACGCATTGCCGGCTATAGACTCTTGACACGCCATATCTATACGAAAAAAGAAAGATCAGCGTATGGATGTCTAACAAACAGATTCTCATCAGCGAAGGTGGAAGCTCTAACAGAAGATTTCCCTGAAGTCGCAAAGCCATCGGAACTTCCGGGTTCATGATGGTATCGCATGCTTTTGGAACGTCGACGCCGAGTATTGCTTTCCTGTTCACCTTTCTAGACGTCGATTTCGGGCCCAGAGTTGCAACAAGCCTGATTCAGAAATTCTCGTGTTAGCTCAGCACTTCGTGTCGAAGGCAGGAATGAATGGCTTAGCCAGTACAGCAAGGGAAGGAGCTGCTTTTAACTCACCATATCGTCGCGACGCCATGCACTTGAGACGTAAGAACTGCATTACAAGGAAAGTGAGATCATGGTTCAAGCGTCGAGTGTGGAATTGGGAAGGAGCATTGAGATAATCGATGGGAAGGTTGAGAAAGAACTTACTCTCGTGACTGTAGAACATGTTGTATCTCTAATGTGTGACCATTTACACTCTTCGAGGTGTGTCTGCGGTGCGAATCAATGATACAAGGCTACTGTTAGTATAGAATATTGGACACGAAGGACTATAGGATGAAAAAGACAGTATGGACACAAGATGAACAAGCTGGAGAAGAAAGCCTGCGTCTCTGGCGTGTTCATGCAATAGAAATGGATAGAAAAACGCGTCTCACTAAAGACGACCAGTCTCAGATGGGTAGTTTGAAGGGAGGAAAGATCTCTCTTGAGGGTCGTGAAACAAGAGACTCGCGGAAGTGTCGAGTCAAAGACGAGAGAGGCTTCGTCGAAGACAGGAGAGACCGTCATCGGCAACTACCTCACCCTGGAGACGTGACGGCACACGCGCTCCAGAAGGCTCGCGTGTCGAGGCAGGTCAGATGACCAAGGAAGGGGTCCTGGAGAGCATTTCCTTCCCAGCTCAGCCCACTTATCTGAGTGATGTAGACAAGGTGTCTGGAGAAGGTTAGTCTCTTTAGTCGAAAGCAAGTGTCTTCCTAATCCTATCATGACCATCCCGACAGAGATTCCGATAGTAAATTAGAAAATAGTGCTAGAACTGGGGATCAATTATTTGTTCTAAAAGTCAATATCAACGACAAACCAGGGGACATAGGGGAGTGCACTTTCATCTCTATAGATTTCGCAAGCTTCCAAAACCCGCCACTGGCTATTATATTCCTCCTTTTGCATATTATGGAACGGCCCAAAGGAACCACAAGAAACCAGATATGTAGATTTGATGATCGTCTATCAAGAAGAAAAAAGAAGAAAAAAAAAGGAGGAAACAAAAGAACCAAAATAGATCGTAATCCCCCCAGCACAGTGGAAAAAACAGCAAAACAGATGACAAAAACCATACAGGTCAGTATCAGTATGATAACCATGTATTCCACCAAGAAAGATAATAATGATAATAATATAACACTGATGCGCCGGGTATGACACACACACACGAAGAGACAACGTGAATAATGGAAGCAATAACTCGAACCTAAACAACCTCAACCAAGAGCATGCGCTCTGTCAAACACTTTTTTTTTCCCCGGAGGAGCAAGTTTATACTCTACTTCCAAAAAAAAATCTTCCCTGTCTTTTCCTTTTTTTTTTACACACATATTGTATACATGACGTCTACTCTAGGGGAATGCCTTCGTACTCGGAGTAGCCGAGCGCAAGATTCATGTTTTCTACCAGACAAATTGTTAGCGATTAATCTTTCGCGAACGTAATGATCACGAAAGGAAAGGAAACTTACGAAGACATTGTGTAGCAGCTCCCTTGAGCAGATTGTCAATTGTCGCGCAGACCACCACACGCTTGCCGCTCGAGTGGACAGCAAAGCCGCCAATCTCGACGCCGTGTCGGCCGGCGATATTCTTGACGAGCGGCGGTTCACCCACGATCTTGACAAGCTTCTCCCCGGCGTAACGGTCCTGGTAGAGGTTACGAATGTCACGAGAAGACATCTCCTCTTTGAGAGGCAGACTAATTGTGTGCTGCAAGGTATTAGTCCAAATTTATTATGACATGGCCATAGAAAGACTTACATGGATACCCTGGAACCAAACCGCGACGTGAGGAATGAAAGCAACGCTCGTGTTGAGCTGAGAGCTGATCTCCTTTTCATGGATGTGATCCGTCAAGCTGTAAGGAATGATGTTGTTCGTGAGCAGGTTGACGTCGTTCTTGGGGCTCGGCTTTGTGCCAGCCCCTGAGTATCCCGAGACACCGAAAACGGTGGGCTGACCGCCGAGATATGGCACGAGAGGGGCAATTCCGAGCTGCGCGGCAGTGGCGTAGCAGCCAGGGTTTGCAATGCGAGTTGCCTTCGCAATGGTCGATCGGCTGACCAATTCGGGAAGACCGTATGTCCAGTTCGGGTCGAAGCGGTAGTCGGCGCTGAGGTCAACAATAATAGCGCCCTTGTCAGACGCTTGGTCGACAGCGTCGACGTAGGGCTTGCAAACACCGTTGGGCAGAGCCATAACCCAGCAATCAATATCCCCATTTTGGGCCATACGCCGCACATCCTCAGGGCTCAGGTTCTCATAGATGATCTCCCGTTTGTCATATCCTTGAAGCTTCTTGCCCGCAAGTTCGCGAGACGAAACGTGACGCAGATCCATGTAAGGATGGCCATTCAAAAGGTTGATGAGAGCCTGGCCTGTATAGCCACGAGCTCCAATCAAAGCCACTCTGGAGGGCCGAGTGTTCGACACGTTCTTTTCGCCCAGAGGAGGGTTGGGATTGGTGCTGTACGATCGAGTGAGATGGCCAGCTGCCACAGGGCGCCCCCGGCGAGCAGCTCGGAGAGCATTGGCACCAGCACTGGTTGCAAACGTCCGTTTCTGTTCAGTGGATGCAGCGCCCAGGCCTGAACCACCTGCCCGAGTGAACGCCGCTTGAGCTGCTCGGTGTAGCCTCGACTCGAGATTGATATCACCAAACATCTGACGGCCATGTTTAGTGAACTCGAGCACTAACTCCTTGACTTCGTCACTGTCCTCCAAACCGTACCAGAAGAGCACGTCGCCCTCACGAGAGAGACTGCCGTCCGCTTTGTCGAAGAACCAAGTGAGGTTCTCATCATCGGCCTTGACAGTCCAGACCAGCTTCGGGAAGTCTTTCTTAATGCTCGAAAAGACATTGTCAGCAACATTCGTCAACCAACCCGACTTGGTAACGGTGAAAGTGGCCAAGTGAGCCAGCGCAGACCCTTCCTCCGGAGGCAAGACGATGGCAAGAGCCTCCATAGGGTCATCGCAGTAAGCTTTGAATGGACGGTCTTTCAAGCCATCCACATAACGACTCCACGGTGGCCTTGGCGTCCAGACCTTCCCGGTCACGAATGAGAACGTCCTTGAAGGCCTGGAGGTCCTCAAACTCCGAGAGAGACGTCTTGGTATGGACTTTGTTGCCCCTTCTGATCAGAGTACCAGCTCCGGAGTCAGTGAACAACTCCTTCTGCAAATCCGCAGGGTGGATGATCGCAACGCTCGAAGTGCGAGGCAAATCCATAAGAAGCTCTCTCATCTCCTTGATCTTCAAACGGGTGCCATGTCGAACCCACCACTGAGACATGAGGTGGTCGTACTCCTCGTCCAGGTTAATGACCGAGATTTTCTCCCCAGTGTCGCCGTTGAACAAGCCGCCTTTCTCGGCGAGGTAGACAATCTTCAGCGGTTGCAGCGCGCGCGCAAGCTCACCCGCTGCGACATCGGCGTTCACGTTGAGAACCTGGCCTTCCGGGGTTTCGGCCATGGAGGTCAGGATCGGAAGACAGCCAGCCTCGATCGCTGCCTCAATTGGTCTCTTGTTAACGTGGTTGATTTTCCCGACCAATTTGTATTTCTCCTTGTCGAGATAATCGGCCGAGAAAACGCCGGTGGTGATGGGACGGGCCCTTACGCCCATACTCTCCAGCTCCTCCACCAGCCTGAGATTCTCTTCCAAAAACAGCTTTCTCGCGACAGCCAGGGTTTTTCCATCCGTGACTCTGATTCCATCCTCAAAGTGCGGCTCCACCCCGGCGTCTTCCAGTATCTTGTTGAGCTGAGGCCCAGCGCCGTGCACAACAACTGGGTAGAGCCCAACATGGTTGAGGAACGCAAGGGCGGAAGAAAGGGTCTGTAGGTGATCGGTGAGAATCGCACCGCCAACCTTGATCACGGCGAATTGTTGGGAGGAGACGGAGGTGAAGTGGGACAGATACTGCTGAACCTCGCGCTTGGAGCCGATATTGCTCAGCAGCTGGACGACCGTCGAACGGGTTGAGAGCTGGGGGTCTGCGGAGCGAGAGTACTGTCGGCTTTGCGACAGTGACAGGGAGCTTCTAATGCGCAGGCAGCCAACAGAGCCGGGCAGGGTTCTGGACGAGAGGGCCTGCGGTGCGGAGACAGCACGTAGTGAGCGAGTCACTATGGCCCTCCGCACAGCAGGGCGAAGCGAAAACATCTTGTCGACAAGCATGCGGCAGCTCGACTGGTGGGCGGCGAGGGACCCTATATACGGTCAGACGAACAATGGGACCAGAGAGAAACAAGGGATGGACCCTACAATTGGGAACTACTGGTGCCAAAAAAGCGCGCACAGAGGGATTTTGCTCATACACCCTGCGGTTCTGTGGCCCAGAGAAATCTCAGCTCGGGAGTAGCTTTTCGACAGGGCCTCGGCGGGCGGTGTCGGAGTCACAGTCTGGTACGGGCTGCGTTCCCCGCCGGCTGCTGCCGCCGACAGAGATTGCTTGGGTTCCCGGACAGGCAGAATTTTACGATCCAGTTCTCGCGAAACAATAATTAATTGCACGTAATCGCCATTATTATATCTACGGAGGGCAAACACCTTGTACGGGCTCGATGGAAATTTCCCTTGTCTAGGGTTGCGCTGCGTTTTCTTGTTTTTCCCGTCTTTCTCTCTGGCCGACTTTCGGAGGCGAACGAGATCGGCTCCGCAGTCCTGATCACGCCCTATGGCCACCCCAGATGGGCCCGACAGGGCATGAGAACGCAGATCTGAATGACTCATAAGAATACTGTTGGGTCTTCTCGAAAGGCCTCTAGATAAGATGGCCGCTGATCCTTTGCAGTCAACTTAAAGAGACGACCCACGCGCACGTGGAAGATTTCCATCCTTATATAAGAGAATATACGTGATGGAGGTAAAGAAGACACGATTACGTCCTCCATGCAAGCGCTTTATTACAAACGACAGGGACGGGCCTTTGCTGCGCCAGGTAGATGCATTGTCCGTTCGCCCAGGTTTCCACAAGCACCATTGCAAGGTCTCATTAAATTCGCATAAGAGGTACTAGAGCAGTAAACATAGTGGGACAAAGAGCATCGCCAGAGTATCATTTACAGGATCGACCCTCGACAAGTCATATGCCAGCGCAAGAGGGTGAAAGTCGTGAGATGAATGCACTTTACGCCAGGAAAGCCACAGGGTAATTAGAAAAGAGCTTCAGAGAGGCCAGCAGCTCTCCTCCATAACCAACGCGACATGGGTACAGTAGGGAAAAGAAGAGAACAGAAAACGAAACACAGAACCAGAAGTCATTCACCCAGAACGATTCGCAATATTCGTAGCTCAATGGTGGGTTGCCATAACTGCAAGAAAAGCGTCAGTATACCAGGGCCTCAAGTCGGTTTGGAAGGGAATCGGCACGAGTCGAGCACATACCCGCAGGAACAACAATGACAATGATGAGGATAATGATGGCGACGATCAAGCATACGCGCATTTTCATGTCCTTCCACCACATCTGTTTCCTCACTCGATTGGCGCCTCGGCGGAAGCCTTGTGCTGAGACAGCCAGATTGTCGGTCTTGTCTTGGAGCGAATCGAGGCGCTCGCCTCGCTGAGAGACTTTGTTGATGTTTTCGCGCATCACCCCGACGGTGTCATCGATTTGCTATTCAAGAAACCAGCCTGTCAGCGTCGTCCGCAACCAAGTCACATGCAGTGGCCCAAACACAAATCCCAGAACGAATTCGACCAATCCATCTCAACCGGAATTGCCCGTCACAACCAGACTCGAAGAAACAGCAGACGGAGCAGACAATATCTGCGCATAAAGGGCAGTCGATGAAGCAAGGGGATCAGCTAAAACTCACAGCTTGCAAAGCAGCAGTTCTCTGGTTACCGCTCGGCCCAGAGCTGCCCCCGGCAGCGCTCGAGCCGGACGGGATATAAGGGTCATATGGGGGCTCGCGTTCGGCCATGGTGAGAGAGTGGGCGGGAGGTGAAGGTGGAAACTCAAGCTACGAGGCGGCAGGGAGCGCGGACGACCTCAACTCAAGGATCTAGCGACCGTCTCGGAGGAAAACCGCAGACAGTGGAGAGACGGAGGGCGGAGAGGATGGAAAGCAGACCGCGCGTGATGGAAGAGATGAGGGCCCAGGGAGGAGACAGGAGGACGCAACACGGACAAGCTGACAGGTGTGACGATGACTGGCCTGGGCCTGGAGTTGGAGGCGTTTCGGGTGTGTCGGGGGTCGGCACGTGATCCGCGGCCACCGTCAAGAATGGAGCAGAACGAAGCTAGAATCGGCTTGGAAAGCACTGCTATTTTTACGGGGCAACGGCGCCGGTGATTGGGCAGCCTGCATCCAGCAGGAATGGCTCCTGCTATATAAAGGCCGTCTGCCGCCACTCACGAGCGATGGGCATCCATTATTATATCGGTAGGGCATCCAGATCAGAGACACAAGCATGGTCTTAGGCAGCATCATTCTAGCCTCTACGATTAGCGGGGACAGCAGAGGCTGTGCAGTGTCAGCGCAATCTCAAGCCACAGCAGATCCCGTGGCGGGTCTGGAAACGTCCCGGTTCCACCAGCGCTTGCTGAGACAGTTGCTGTAAAAAGCAAGCAAGGCCTGATTAGGTAATGAGCCCTATCCGGATTGCCTGATTGCTGTATATCGGATCGCCAGCTCTGCACACGACGGATGATCTACGATCTGAGGCTCCACCAGTGAGAGCGATTGATGATAATAATGGATGCAGCAACATAGAAATCTGAGGAGACGCTCCAGTCCACTTCTCAGCCACGACTTGGAGATAGCAGTGCTGGGCTGATTCTTTCTCCAGTCATACCGTATCGATGTCTGCTGTACATGTACAGTAGGTACATGCACATCCACCATGTATGCTAGTAGACCTCACCATCTTAATCCTGCTTTGTTTAGAGGGTCCAAGTTGTCGATATCTGAGAGCTAGCAATCCACGCGGTTTACGGAGGAGCACCCGGAGCTGGTCACGGGTGTGGGTTGGACTTGCCATTCACGGACATATGGGGAAAGCAACTAGAACTGGTACCTCTGCCTGACAACGGTGCGTTTCCAAGCTTACTATGTAGAAATACCTTATCCGTTTCCTTCTGTTCCCTGCGTATTCCCTTCTTCTCTTTCGACTGATGAGACTATTTGGATACTCTTGGTTCCAGGCATCTCGGCCATGGGGTTATCTTCTATTTATTGCGCTTCTTGCAGGGCAAGCAGTACATGCCTCTATCGACCTGAATTTGGATAACAGAGGTGGGTTGTTCCTCCATTTTCGTGTTGACTCATGCCTGACCATCTCTCCAAGAATCAATCAAGAATGCAGCCAAGACAGCAGCAGCCGGCATGATGCAATATTATACAGGAGACCAACCAGGCGACGTTCCAGGCAATCTCCCCGACCCTTACTACTGGTGGGAGGCTGGAGCCATGTTTGGGTCGCTGGTGGATTACTATTACTACACGGGGGATAAGCAGTATGTTGACGTGACGACTCAGGCGCTGCTGTGGCAAACCGGTCCAGACGAAAACTATATGCCTCCGAATCAGACAAGGACGCTGGGAAACGATGATCAGGGCTTCTGGGGCATGGCAGCCATGTCAGCGGCCGAAGTCAACTTTCCCAATCCTCCAGAGGGTCAGCCTCAATGGCTCGCTTTAGCCCAGGCGGTCTTTACCTCCCAGGCGCACCGTTGGGATACGGAATCCTGCGGCGGAGGGCTGAAGTGGCAGATCTTCTCTTTCAACAGTGGTTACAATTACAAGAACACCATTTCCAACGGCGTCTTCTTCAATCTGGCTGCACGATTGGCAAGATACACTGGAAATGAGACCTATGCAAAATGGGCAGAGACTGCGTGGGACTGGGTGTTTGCTGTCGGGCTGGCAAGTCCAAATTATGAGTTCTACGATGGCACGGATGACACGATAAACTGTTCCGAGACCAATCATCTGCAATGGACCTACAATTCTGGCGTCTTCTTGCATGGGGCGGCCAATATGTATAACTTTGTACGCTTGATACACCCGTGTTTGTGTATGATGGTTGACTGGTATTTAGACGAACGGCTCCGAGACATGGAAGACTCGCTTGGAAGGCATCTTGAAGGGTGCAGAGATATTCTTCTCAAACGACGTCATGACGGAGATCACTTGTGAAGACAGTGGAAAGTGCAACATCGACCAACGCTCCTTCAAGGCATATCTCGCACGATGGATGGCTGCAACTGTCAGACTCGCGCCCTTCCTCTTCGACAAGGTCATGCCTAAGTTGAGAGCGTCTGCTCTGGCCGCTGCTCAGCAGTGCAATGGTCCAGGGAACGCTTGCGGTCTTCAATGGACCAACGGTGCGGAATACGACGGAAGCACGGGCGTGGGGGAGCAGATGAGTGCGATGGAGATCTTCCAAGCCAATCTCATCGAGACTGTTCGCGGACCGTTGACGAACACTACCGGAGGTACCAGCAAAGGGGGGAATGGTACAGAGACTGATTCAGAGGATGATCCTTTTAGACAAGAAGAGACTGTAATTACTGTCGCGGACCGCGCTAGCGCTGGAATCGCGACTGCGGTTGTCGTCTTGGCTACTATTGGCAGCGCTTGGTGGATGACCGCATAGCAAAGCGGAGTTGGATAAGTCATCTAGTGTACTGTACATAACTTAAAACTATAGCTCGTCGTGGTCATTCTTGTTCACTTTTCCTTCATCCTTTCCACGTCCTGAACTCGACGACATCTTCCCCTGCAAGATATCCAAAACAAACCGATCCACCCCTGCAGCCGTAATCGGCGCGTCGTCGTACACAAACACCTGATCATTGAACAAGCTATGGACAACAAAGGCAGGGAACAACGACGATGACGACCTGTCTGGTCTATTCAATTCCAACAAGCTAGTCGCCACATGACCATACTCGACGCCGTCGATGGTGACAAAGTCGACGTAGCCGCGATACCGTTTCGCGACGGGAGTAACTCTCTTCGCAGGAGTGCGCGAGAGGTACGGTTCTGGTTCTGGGTGTTGTCGTAGAAGATGTATGCGAGGAGTTTGATGCCGGACTGGAAGAAAACAAAACAAAACAAAAAAAGTTAGTGATATTGCATGTATTTATGTTTTTTTTTATATATATTGGTATGAGGTGAATACCGCGAAATAATCATCCATATTCCTCCTCGTCATTTCACCGATTGCAGACTGGGCTGTCGTTTCGACAAACTCTTCTAGTGTCTCCTTGGTGAAGGAGTCGCCTTCCTGACTTCCTGGCGTTGTCGCCGCCAACGCCAACGCCTCATTATCATCCTCAGCGATCTTGTAGCTCACGACGCAGGGCAAGTTAAGATTAACAGGAAGCAGCTCTTCCTCAGCAAGCTGTCTGTCCAGGACCAGGCCGAAGACGAATCTGTGATGGTGGGCGTGGGCGATGGAGGTGAATGTCTCTTGTAGAAGAACATCTTGCTTTGCAGAGGATGAGGGGCTGTCCAGATAGGCGATGAAGACGTGGTCGTCGATAGCTTTGAAGTTGTCGAGGTCTTCTTTGCTGGTTAGGATGGTTACTGGGGGGAGGTGGTGCTTTAGGAGGTAGGAGTTTATTCTGAGAACTCTTGTTAGTAAGTATATATTCATGCAATTGTAGAAAAAAACCAGGGGAAAAAAAAAGGAAGAAGGCAACCCACGCAGAAGCACTCCGTGGCCCTCTATACCTAATCCCAACGGTAGAAGTAGTAGTAGTAGCAGTACTGTTCTTGAACAGCCTTATCGTCGGATAGGCATTAATGTCGTATCTCTTGCAGAGTCCTCCCAAGGAGGCTTCTTCTGAGCAATCGATGCTGAGTATTGGTGTTGTTGTCGATGCTGTAGCTGCTGCTAAGTCTAGTTCTGATTGGAGGGACTTGCTGGGTTTGCTGTACAATCAGTCAATCAGTCAGTGAATTAGTATTGGTATTCGGTGAAATGTGTTTAAATAGTACTAGATTTGGATTTGAGGGATTTATGTTTTTTTTACCTGAATGGCTATAATAGAGAAGGTAGTTAACCCGGAACGGAAGTCAGTAAGAGTGCCCATGGCCGTTATTATCGAAATGGAATGGAACAATTGGATACGCTGGATGATGATCGGGTCAACTCACAGACACAACTGTCATTCATTCAAAACAGTCAGTTAATATCCTCTCTTCCCAAAAAAGTATACCATCTTAGGGCTAGTAGGGCTAGTAGGGCTAGTATATAGAAACAGACATACAAGCACAAAGCACCATGTCATTCCTCCTCAATATGGCGTCAAACTCTTTCGCTGAAGAAATATGATGTACTTTATTGACATTCACGTCCTTGGCCAATGTTTTTGCTGCTGCTGAATAATAGATGAGCACTAGGAGGAGGAATTGGAATTGGAATGTCATTGTAGTGACGTTATCCTGGTTCGATGTGATGCTAGCTGTAAGGTTCTTTCTTGATAAGGAGCAAGATATGTATATGTATTAGTAGGTAGGATAGAATAAAAAATTAAAGAGCTTTTTCATCTCATATGAAAATAGTGAAAGTTCTCACTTGGGAGTTGCAGGAGTTATGATATGCTGGAACGGTTATTGTCCATGGTGGCGGTTTTTGATACGGAGATTGTTTCATCATACAGCAGTCAGTCTCAGCCAGCCCCTCCGGGTATAGTAATATGATCCTACCTGCTTGCTGAGTACTATTTTTCCTGCGCGGGTTGCTTCTTGTACGATAAGGAAGATGCTTAAGGTCAATTCTATCTCTCTTTGCTTCTGCCTCTTCTGAGGATTCGCTCTATGGGAGTATATATCTTGGCCGGTAACTAATTTCCATATATTTGATTATATCAAGTAAACGTGAACATCGTATTGTTTTTACTACGCCTGGAATTGTCAAATATGCAAAGAACACTGTTGTTGAACTTCGCTGCCCTAATTACAGCCTGGTTTCTGCTTCCTCTTTGCGCTGTCGCAGAGCCTTCGGATCAACACCCATTGCTCCAGAGTGAAGGCAAGCCATGTCCCGACCATCGCTACACCGTGCATCTCTTTTCCAAAGATCCTTTGGTTATCTACATATCAGACTTTATCACTGTTGAGGAAGCGTTGCATTTGGAAAAAATCACGTCAGTGAAATACAGTTCGCATATATAGATACCGCAACACTAACAATTATCCTACAGCGACCAACAATTCACACACTCGGAAGTCGTCGACGAATCCGGCACGAGACTGACCAACGCCACCACGAGGACATCTCGCTCGACCAGTCCCCCGCGCGACGACGTCATCCGCTGCATCGAGGACCGCGCCCTCGCCTTCCAGGGCCTGCACATCCCGCGCACGCATCTCGAGCCTCTCCAGCTCGTGCGCTACGAGCTCGGAGAAGAGTATCAGGCCCATACGGACTGGTTCGAGTCCCCCTCGCAGACGACCGTCGACCTGGGCGGGAACCGGCTCACCTCGTTCTTTGTCTATGTCGCCACGACGGAGGACACTACGGGTGGAGGGACCAATTTCCCGTTGCTGGATGCGCCGCCCACTGCTGCTGATGATGATGGTGGCGACGACGGATGGTGTCGTTTCATCAATTGCGACGAGCCCTGGGATGCGGGCGTGACGTTCCGCCCCGTCGCGAGAAATGCCATCTTCTGGCAGAATCTGCACCCTCGGGATGGCGCGGGGGATCGGAGGACGCTCCATGCGGGATTGCCGTTGACCAGTGGGGTGAAGTTGGGGATGAATATCTGGACGAGAGTGGGGCCTTTGAGTCCGAGGTATCGAGGAGAAGATTGACGAGTGTCCTGTGCGGATGTCAGTATTTCAGTCTGGTGAGTTTGTTGCTTCTGGTTAGGAATATATGCTTTCGTTAGTAATCCTTGCGGTGATTTGTAAGGCATTCCATCGTATCCTAATTCTTCTCTCATACATATAGTACAAAAGGGATAAAAATACAACGTCTGGAACCTGTGACATCAGTCTCCTTTTTTCTGTTTCTTGCATGCAGAGATGAGATCGTCGAAACAGTACGTCGTAGCATAAGCATCAATGACACGATTGCGCGCATGACCCTCCTGAGCCAGAATTCTTATAGTAACACAGGACTGAAAAAGACTCTTCTTCAGACAAGATCTCGACAGCTTTTTCCATCGTTATTCTCGTTCTTCGCAGGACTAAGCCGGTAGGGCAAACGGCCGGAGTTTAACGTCTTATGTCGAATTATGTGGCATCGGCGCCCTCCAGGTCGGAAAATGGTATTCTCTCATCTTCAATTCCTGCCTTGTAGCTCTCTTCTCATTTCCTCCCTTTGTATCCGTTCCTCTTCGTTCGCGCGCGAGGCTTGGGATTCCATTGCGGCGCGTCGCCGGGCCTCCTCTTCCTTGGCCGCAAACCAAACTAGAGGACAAAGTTGTTAGCTCCTGCACATAGCAACCAGTCGAACGGTGTTTGGATCAACGTACTCGACTTGTCGGACTTGGACCACTCTTTCAATTTGTTCACGTAGTCGTCAAACTCCTTCTCCCGTCGCTCGCGGTTCTCCAGGCTCTTTTTCTGGAGTTCGGGGTTGTATTTCTAGCACAAAGAAGAACAATTAGCGACTGAAATACGAACACGAATCTTTTTCTTTAGGAGCAGAACGCAGAAAACAAGAAGTGACTGCGATTGCATTCTGACGCATTGCGTCACATGTCCTAAGGTACCTGGGTGATCATCGCTCACCTTGAATAGCTCTTCCTCCGACGGCCGGATGTACTGGACAAACATTGGCCCTCCTACAGAAATCACTGTGCCCCTGCGACGCAAATCAGCATGGTTCGATAAAATACCATGACGAAAGGACCAAAAGCGGGCACCAGGGCAGAATTGGCTTACACCCCGAGCATCTTCAACCAAGTCCCTAGTCGCGTCATGGCGGACAGGCGCTGAACAAGCAGTTACGAGACAGCCAGCCCGCTCTAGAGGGAACACCGGGTGCAATTGATCAGCACGAACCACAGACCGTTTGTCGTTTCGAGGAAATGAAATGAAATCATCCATCCACATGGATAGCTTCGGAGCTGATGGAGGTGTGGCGCACGGATTAGGTGTGGCTGCGTGTGGCTCGGCATGTTCATAAGGCGTCTCCACCGCCAATTATGAATTTTATTTATCGTGATCTTCCAGCCCCCATCGTCCTGCGTGCGTCTAACTCGACAGATAATAACTGTATTCGGTCCTTACGGAGTAGATTGGAACAAGATATTGTCAACATGAGCCGTATTCAGTGTCTTTGTATCCAGTACTCTGCTGATCTGCAAAATTCTGGTAAAACTGTAATATGCCTGTTCCATGGTGCATAGGAGCACAGAATAATGAGAACTACTCCACGTGAAATATCATTGTATCTTCCAAGGCTACTCCGTATTATTCCCTTATCTAGCTTGGTATGTGTGAAACAACGGAGGATAAGCGGTTCTGATACGTGAGACACAGCGTCCCTGCGACGATCGCCAGGGCCGAATATTGGGTCTGATCATCTGATGAAGTCATCGAGTTGCCAATCAACGAGTATGCTGCATTATTAGCTGCCCACTCGTTCTGTCACGAACTCGTACTCGGTAGAAGGCAGCGTGGAGGAACTAGGACGGTAAACGAGCGAGCAGAGAGGAATGACGGCATCTCCCGAGTGCTGTGCCATTGAGCCCCTGATCAGCAAAGCACAGTGACGGATGCGATTGGTGTCTCCTCTGGCACATGTCATGTTCATGCCCAATGATGACAGCGGAGAGAAATGAATGGCCCGGAGAGCAGAATTATGAGCTGCTAGGTTCTCCCTACCGCTGTGGTGCCTGGGCGGCCCCGCTCCCGTAAGCGTGCCTTCGGTCCCAACCCCGGCTGCCCATGGCTTCAGCAGGCCTGCTGGCCACGGTTATGCGGTTTCACTCATTCTTCTCTTCGCGGCAGATGTCATACCACTGACCACTGCCACCGTGTTGCTCGAAAAGCGCTGTCTTGGCCGTTGGAGGTCGACAGGGCTGATCGGTGGGATCCGATTATTTAGGCCATTTTGCTGCCAACTCGTTCTCCACTCTTTTTTTCCCGTCGTGTGCGCTTCCCAGACGACATAGCATAGCACCAGCAGCAGTCCTATTTAGTTGCCTAGATAAGACGGCTTCGACACAGGGCTGAGTCTGTCCTGCCAAGGAACCGGACTGCGGCCAGCATTGCGACATTAATAAATGCAATCATCTACGCTGCACTCGTTCGCCTTGTTGGACTGAGCACTTGTACACAACGACACTACTACCCCTCCCTGACAGATCCTTCACCGCAGACACATTGCTGCCACTTTGCTGCAGATAATACAAACAGACTGAGAGGGTATGTATACCTGAGATATTGTGGTTGTTCTGCAATGCAATGGTTCCTCTCACCTCGAACCTCGAACACTACCCACTCCCAGTTTCATGCAGCCCCTTTCCATTTATTACTTCTTGACTCTCCATGCTGACAATCGCTGGCGTGAGACAGCAACGCCCTTTCTAAGGCCCCTTTTTTTCCTACAGCCATTCTGTTCGTTTCCTTTGTCAAACCTTTCTCGGTTTCCACCCCGCCAACCCCGTCACCGTCTGTCGCGATGTTCCATCCCATGACAACTGCTAATTGCGGCATGTCGAATTGACAACAGCTTATCGAGCCTCATGAGTTGACGAATGACGAAACACATCTCTGCTGATCGGGATAGGAGGAACAGCGCAACCAGATCGATATACTGAGATCATGGCGTACCCTCAGCAGCACGGGCCTCAGCGCCCCCCTCCACCTCGACAATATGGCAATCGAGGTCCTCCGCAGGGCGGATACTACGACCAAGGGAATCAGGGTTATGGAGGATATGAGGGCAACAATGGCTATCAAGGTGATGGAGGCGATTATGGATACGGCTACGGGAACGCGCCCGCATATGGTCCACAAGGATCTCGCTCACGACCGCCACCGCGTCCCGGTTATGGCGCACCGCCCCCAGGACGGGGATACCCGCCCAATGGACCGCGAGGGTATGACAATCGTGGTTATGGAGGTCCCGGCGGCAGTCGTGGACCACCACCACCTAACGGTCGACCGATGAATCGACCTCCTCCCCAGCAGGGCCCTAGACGGGGACCTCCTCCACCACAATCACCGGACAAGTCGTCTTGGGACAATCCATTTCCAGCACATCCTCCTCCTCGCCAACGGAGAGGTTCCGAAGACACCGGCGTGACGAAGCAGATGGCAGGACTTGACCTGCAAGATCAATCACCGCCTTCGCAAGTGCCTGAACGACCGCATACTTCGCATTCAATGCGCTCTGACAGGTCGGGGCGAGGGTATCCTGGGTCTGGCCGTCCTTATATGGACAGCTCAGCGCCGCCGCCGATGCCAGGGCCGAAGAGGAGCGCAACGAACCCGGTTCCACCCACGTACGCATCACAATATAGACCCCAGTATCCGTGGCAGCTCACGTACCAAGAGCCAAACCCGTCAACCAAGACCTACAGTACATATGCCTCTCATGATCTTCTAAACCATTACTTCGAGAATGACAACGAGAATGAGAACGAGAATGAGAATGAGAATAAAATTGAGGAAGAGGATGAGCCTGATATGCCCAACTTTGATGCCATGCCATCCGAAGAGAGTGGCCATCGCAGGGGAACGAGCATCGACAACCATTTGAATAACGAACCGGTATCGACCTCACAGGCAGGATCCAATGGCACGTATGCCGCATATAAACCGGAATATGCAGCTCCTCAGTCACAGCCGCCAAACCAATTCGAGAATGCGGGATTCCAATTTGATCTCCCGCAAGAAAATCCTGGCCCTAATGACTCTGCTGGCAATTCTGGTGGCTATGCGCCTCCACGGCCGTATCGTGCAAACCAACCAGGTGTCTATGAGGCTGGCAATGGAGCTGACATGCCACCACCAGATCAAAATCCTGATGCGCTTCCTGCTCATCCTACACCTTTCCGGGCTGGGCATGACCAGGGTTCCAAGCCTCCCCCTGTGCGTCAATACGATAACGGCCCGCCCGCTCCACAGGCTGATTCTGCAGACCGTCGGCAGTCCGGGGTCGTCACCCACGAGGAGCTGCAAAGACTCCAGCAAAAGGTTCGCGACAATCCATCTGATCATGAGACGCAGCTGGTCCTGGCGAAGAAGATGGTTGAAGCTTCGTCCGTTCTGATCGGCGAAGAGGGTCGGGTGGACCCCAAAACGAGAAATAAGAACCGGGAGAAATACATCAATGATGCATACAAGATTGTCAAGAAGCTTGTGCATGCAGGGTATCCGGAGGCGATGTTCTACCTGGCGGACTGCTACGGCCAGGGCCACTTGGGACTGGAAGTCGATCACAAAGAAGCGTTTGTCTTGTATCAATCCGCGGCGAAGGCGGGCCACGCTGAGTCGGCTTACCGGACTGCGGTCTGCTGCGAACTCGGTCACGAGGAGGGTGGCGGCACGAAACGCGACGTGCTCAAGGCCGTTCAGTGGTACCGGCGTGCCGCGGCCCTGGGCAATACCCCCGCAATGTACAAGATGGGAGTCATCTTGCTCAAAGGATTACTTGGACAGCAGAAGAATCCTCGGGAGGGTCTTACGTGGCTGAAACGGGCTGCCGAACGGGCTGACGAAGAAAACCCGCATGCTCTGCATGAGCTGGCCCTGTTGTACGAGAGCACCGACAACAACGATTTCATCGTCCGGGACGAGGAATACTCGAGGCAGCTGTTCATGCAGGCCGCCGAACTTGGGTACAAGTTCTCGCAATTCCGACTGGGTGCGGCATACGAATACGGTCTTATGGGCCTCCCTGTCGACGCACGACAGAGCATCATCTGGTACACCCGTGCTGCGGCGCAGGGAGAACACCAGAGCGAACTGGCGTTGAGTGGCTGGTACCTGACCGGGGCGGAAGGCATCCTCCAGCAGAGCGACACTGAGGCCTATCTCTGGGCGCGAAAAGCCGCTGCAGCGGGTCTACCAAAGGCGGAGTATGCCATGGGATACTTTACAGAAGTGGGCATTGGCGTTCCGTCGAATCTGGAAGATGCGAAGAGGTGGTATTGGCGGGCAGCTTGTAAGTATATCGTTTTCTCTTCTTTGTTAAACACGAACTCACTTTGCTATCAGCTCAAAACTACGCCAAAGCGCGCGAGCGTCTCGAAGAACTCAAGAAAGGCGGCAGCAAAATGCAAAAGACGCGCTTGTCGCGCTCCGCTGTCAATAAGCAGAACGAGGGCGACTGCGTCGTCATGTAAATTACCATCAGGATCAGGGTTTTGGATTGGATTGGATTCCTTTTGTTCGATGTTTTTATTTTTATTTTTCCTTCTTGCGTCTCCTGAGGTATTTTCACTGCGCTGTTGTCGAAGTGCTGTGCTTGCTGGCTGGCCATCATCCCCCAACAAACAAATTTCGGGTTCTGGGACATTTTTTTTTCTTTACTCTTGTATTGTTCATTATTACGTCCTTTTTTTTCCGGGAAGTCGTTCTTCTTTTTCCCCTTTTTTTTCTTTCTTTTGGTTAGATGATACCGATGGCCAAGATGTCTGTCTGGGAAATAATTTCAAAGGGACTACTTACTGGACTTGGCAATGTCTAGAGCTGGCGGGCTGGCGATGATACGCAGGACATGATTGATACCCAGGAAGAGAGAGTTGATTTGGAAAGCGGTTTATCCAATTGAAAGTATTACATTACATATTGCTTATTTTGTCGCTTGAACTTGCCATGCACTTAGACATGTCCTTGTAATGACCACTATCGATTCGATGATTCATTCATTTGGCTGTAGTAGGTCAGCGTTCTCGGGCCGAACACGGGCGGAACCTTTTCCGCTGTCTTAGCCAATTCCTGAAAGAAAACCTCGTCGTTTGCTGACAATATCGAAATGAGAAAATAATAATGGCTCACAAGGCTTATTATATTCTCGAGGCCATAGTATCGCCGTGTAAGGAGGGGGTTGACAGTTGAACCCCTTCGAAGAAACCACAAGGTCATTCGATCCCTTCACTACACAAAGACGTGTCTTCTGTTCTTTGCATTGGGTACACCCTTGAGCTTGTCAAAATTAGGAAGTTCCCACTGTATGTATGTGTTTTCCCTAAAGGGGACTGAAGCATGTATGTATGTACATAACTCCGTCAATCATGAAGAAAGGCATCAATGGCCTCTTCATTCAGAGATTGAGGCTTGTAGATAACGTTCTCTTCGACTTCAAGTTCATTCAGGTGGCCGTATATTTTCAATCTGAAACGAGCGACTTTGACTTTGTGGGTCGACCGATTCGGTCGCGAATCATGAGTGCTGCAGTATCGTGAATGCATTTCGGTATAGTCAAACTCCATCATCCTTTCTATTATATTAAAAGAGTCTTGACGGACTCGGTCATGACAGTGACCGATGAAATTCCATCGAAAATGTCTGGCTTTGCACGCCACTGATTTGTAGAACCATGGGATGAGTCGGCTCATGTTAAATCGTAGGGATCGTTCTGAAGCATCATTTTAACGCGCTCCGGGTTGGTCGCACCAAATGAGCTGCCTCTCTCAAGGTGCCACCTGTAAAGTCGGACAGGCTCATATTCATAGAACAAACGAGGAATCGGCCCATCAAGATCATAAATCGCCTGAGCCAGTGGCCAGGAGTTGATCACGTTATCGCTTGATTCATCTTCCGGGACTCCAAACTGACACTTGATCAAGGAGTTAATGTTAGCATCTGCAAAGAACTGAATGCAGTGTGGGATGCTTACAGCAGCTCCGTTTCCCATTTACTCCACGGATTCATGATAAGAGTAGTATCTTTCATAGAGAATTGCGCTTTGGGCCAGCGAGAAGAGCGCGGCGAAGTCGCATAAACGAGCATCGGCGTGATCCCATTCTTTCTCTTGAGGTCTGAGGGTAGGCCATCTTCGAAAGCCATTGAGTCCAATATCCATAAATTCTTGTTCTCGTCTGCTTTCATCACATTTTGGATCAAATGGCTTGGGGGGGACGGAATAGACGCGTCCTCCGCTGAATAACACGTAATCATCTTCGACTGATTCAATTTTCAGTAGACTGACTTCCCTTCGCCCAGAAGTCGCCAGAGAACGTAAGTCAAGAAATCCGTTTTGCCTAGGATGGGTCAGCTGCGTGAGTGAGGCAGGGGTGTGAATTACCAATGCCGGGTTGTCTGGTGAGGATAGCTATGCGTCTCCTTTTATGCAAAGCTTTCATCTCATCATACAACAGTACATACTCCCTGCGAATGAGGATCGGGTGTCTCTCATGCGCCCTTTCATCAGGAAAAGCATAGAGAAACCGCAAGCTGTCATGGTAGTCATGGGCCAACGGAGTATTTTCTATCGCATAGGTTCCCGGTGTTTGTGCTTCATCGGTGCCCATATCTCTACCTTCGTCCTCGTCGATCTCGTCCTCCCCATCGGTGTCAACCTCTTCCGGTTCGCTGGTGTCGGGTAAAGCTCTCTGAGATTGTGATTTCCACTCTTCCTGGTGCTCTTCGATGAAAGCATCCGCCTTTGAACACCTCGAGTCCCCATAATCCCTTGATTCCTTCATTTCATTGTCCCAGTGCCTTTTGCAATACACAGCCAAGTGGCCGTGGGCACGATGGCTTTCAGTAACTTCCAAGCGACACGGCAGCCAGGCGCCAACCAAAGTGGAGGGAATCTGGTCCAGAATCCACGTATCTGGATCCTGCGGACACCAGCTTTGGGTCATCCTGATTCCACTGTTGGAGACGCTCCTCCTCCACCTGTCCTAGAGACTGTTGCAACTGCTGCAGCTGCTGCGAGTCCATGGTTCTTATTTAGTGACAAGGTGGGAGTGGACGAAGACGAGAGCGCCGCTCACTGGCGATTGAAGAGATAAGTTTGGTATCGTGAACTTTAGCGCGTTGCCAATCTAAATCACGCGACTTTTGGTTTTCTTTGTTTGACCATAAAGGTTCCTATTCCTACCTAATTAGGAAACTAATAAGTGAATTACCAACTACCTGCCTACGTATCCTTCCTATTGGCTGCCTGGCTGCCTGCCTGGCTAGGAACTTTACCTGTTGATAGAATAATACCCCCTGCTGAAGACAAGACAAGAAGACCCGGCTTCATAAATTGGACGACGTCAGAGAGGTTCACCCAGCTAGCCCATATTCAGGAAAGGACATTGCAGCCGGAGACGGCATTCCTAAGCCCGATCAGACTGCTCTTACTTCCTTCATATAATCAAGTATCTTTTATAACAACTCTTAATTATATTAGATAGATGGGCTGCCAATGATAGCAATATAGATAATAAAAATTATCTAATTCTTTTCCATATTCTGGGGTTCCTATCGACCGTGACTGTAGCAAGCAATAACAGTTTTGTTTTTCATTAAAGACGTGCCTATTCCATTTGGTTAAGAGACTAAGATGAAAGCAGCATAGGAAGAAAAGTCAATTAACAGCAAATAATCAAAAAGATTAAGGAAAAGAGGGGAAAGAAAAGGAGTCTTGCCCCATCGATGATATCGAGATGCCGACGAATTAATACTAATAATTAGCCTAGCTCCCTCCAAACGTACAGGCCGAATTCCCAGACAACATAAGACGACTCTGTTATTGGTCCATAGAGGGTGGGATCCTCAATCTGCTTTACATGTCCAAAACCTGTAAGGTATCTTTATTGTGTCAATTAAAAAGCTCGTTGTTTGGGAAGTAGGAGGCGGAAACTGGACTTACGTTTGGCGAGTAGCCCGATCAAAGAACATCTGCTCTGGTTCGCCGTGGGAATATCTCCATCCGTGCTGACGCATTTTCTTGCCAGTGGAAGAAAGGGGGGAAAAAATCTGATTATATATATTTACTGGATGTGAACAGAAGAAAGATCCGAACTTACTCGAGAATTTCCACAAGCTGCGACTTGATGAGCGATCGTTCGGCGTCTGTTAAGTCCTTGATCTCTGGCACGGGAGATCCACAAACTCGTGACATAGCCAAGACATGTAGATAACCGCCAGGAAATTCATATATCATATCCTGGCGAAGTTCTTCACTGCCATAAAACTGTGGAGTATAGGGTGTAAGTCCTTGACAGGCTTCAATAGCCCGGCATTCCTGTCTAAAGAGATCGGTTGCCCATCTAACTACTCCGTCCCTGTCTTCTGCTGGCTCAATCAGAAGTGGGTTCATTCTTCAAAAAGGATGATTTTCCTGTTAGCAAAAGACGATTTAACAACGTGTGACTTAAATATAATATATAGGAATACGAACTGAACACGAAATTTAAGGATCACAACTTCGCTGCTGGAAAGTCTCCGAGCTTCGAAAACCGCCAGACATTCATTGAGCGCATGATCATATCTCTCCGTAATGAGAGTCTAAGCCGAAATTGACTGGACGCAACAGCAATCTGAGTACTCTCCATTTTCTTCAGGGTCATCCCATGCGGGAAGCGATCGTGGATGCTCATCATGAGGATTGTACATGTGGACTTTGATAAAAGTCAGTGCAAAGGGAAGAAAGTAGAGTGGAAGCTGAAAGAGAGTAGAGGTTAGAAGTTAGATGGAAATAAGTTTTCGTTATCAACTCAGCAAAGAAGAAAGCATATTGTAGTCAGGTGATGTGCCACAGAATGATGAACCTTGGTAGACATGTTGCCGTTACCAAGAGAATCTAGGCAAGAGTACTATGTAGTAAGTAGTCAGGAGTTGAGCCAGATACAGAACGAATAATATTAGACAAGGACATGATATAAAGCAAAAATAACAGTCAATTGGCTGAGTTCAAGGCTACTTGTTTAATCTGGATATTCAAGAGCTTGATGCTGAAGTTGTAGTATTTGCTGTGATCAGTCCACTAGATCCTTCAAGTTCTATTACTTTCGCTACATCGCCTTTTCCCACTTACCACCATCCTAGCATACATGACTCGATGCGTAGAATAGTTATATTTAGGGCAAAAGACACTGGTGTAGAGAATGAGACTGGCCTATTAGTAATAATAGCCCTAGTCGCGCAACCATTCCGCGGTACCCCACTCACCTGCTCAGGTATATATACTGCCTGCATCTTGAATGCCTCAATAATAATTCCGCAGGAATAATTATAAATCAGCCCCGTCAATTTGCCACTGATCAATCAATCAGTCAGATCTTATCAATCATCTTATAGTTCTAGACCTCTCAGAGGAGGATAATCGAACCGAGCGCGTCAGTGTCAGTACGGTACCTACCTCGGTCCATTATACAAATATATGTCTTCGACGTCCAAGTCTACCTCGTCGAAAGAATCAAGGGATACCACGAAAAAGGCAGCAGACAACAGCAATACCAGACCTTACTCTTTCGCCAAGATTGTTCTTCTGTCGATTTTCGCTCTCGCTTCGGCGGTCCTAGTCGCTTATTATCTGCCCAGCAACGTGGAGGTCACTCGGGGAGCATCGGCCAGACTCTTCTCTTCTGTATCACGCCTTTTTGCGACGAAATCGGTCGTCTCTTCTTCCCGGTTCCTGGAGAAGACAGCAACAGCGGTTTCGTTCGCGAGCCAGTCGCCAGTTCCAGTTCCAGTTTCCAAGTGGAATACCACCGTCATGAGACCCCCTGTGTATTTTCTGAGCCATGGAGGGGTGAGTTTGCGGTCTATTCTGTTTCTGAAAGAAAGAATTTCACTAACCAATCTGCCATTCGACCCCTTGTCACAGCCAAACATCATGTATCAACATGACCATCCTGCCCATCGCAAGCTGCAGGAAATTGGCCGCGAGATCACGACCAAGGTGAAGCCCAAGGCCGTGGTTGTCTTCTCGGGGCATTGGCAAGCGGGTCGAGATACGATTCAGGTGAATACGGCTGAGGTGACGGATCTCATTTACGAGTAGGCCGTTCCTTTTTTTTCCCCCTCAAAACTTAAATCCTGCTTCTTCCGGAGAAAATGTCTAACAAGGTCAAGTTTCTATGGCTTCCCAAAACACTACTATGAGGAGAAATACCCCAACGTAGGGAGTAGGGAGGTTGCAGAAAAGGTTCTTGCTGCCCTCAAGGAAGCCGGTATAAAGGCTGAGGGTGTTAAGAGAGGGCTTGACCATGGCGTCTGGGTTAGTTTCAAGTGCGGTGCGTACATAAATAATACAGTCCTGGACGACTCAGCTAACGCGCCCCATCAGCCTTCGACCCCCAGACCAACCCCCTGAATGTGCCAATCGTGCAGGTCTCGCTCTTCGACAGCGAGGATCCGATCCAGCACTACCGCCTCGGCCAGGCGCTGTCGAAGCTGCGCGACGAAAACATCCAGATCATCACGTCCGGCATGGCCGTGCACAACTTGCGCGACATGCGCTTCACCTGGGGCGACCCGCGGCCGCTGCCGTACGCCGTCAGCTTCGACGACGCGCTCAAGGAGGCTGTGACCACTGCGCCCGAGAAGCGGGAGAAGGCCATGGCGGACCTGCTCAAGAGGCCCGATGCGCGGCAGGCTCATCCGACCTTTGATCATATCCTCCCCATCCACGTCGGGGCCGGTGCGGCGGGGGAGGATGTCGGGAAGAGACTGTTTACGCTGAACGAGGGGAGCTTGGGTTGGGCGCAGTTCCGGTTTGGGGAGGTCCCTACTACTAACGGGTCGCTGTAAGGCACTTTCTTGTGTACAGTTTGTCGAGTGAAGGCGCAGAAATGGTGTATGTGTATATATATCTCTTGTGCTGAATAGAATGTCAATATTATATCTTAATAAATGAGGAGATAACAATATGACGATCCGCTGTTGGATCGTCAAATCTAGTCGTCGGCAGTCATCCTATCAAAGTCTTTAGCCTGCCTGAATAATGCCTGTTAGTATGGAGGTCTAAGTTAATGCCGAGGCTCAGTAATCTCGACAAAGACCGATTGTCAAGGAACATTTTCGCATTTCATGTATAGGTACAGCAGCAGCCCAATCGCTACATAATAACCAGACTCATGAGACAAATAATGCAAGGTATTCGATTTGGTATTTCGATTTGGGATATCTATAGCGCATTCTTGACGAGAGACGTGACTTTCTCCTCGATCTCCTTATCCGTCAGACCTGTCGAAAGCTAGTTAGCTTGTGCGTTTCTTCCCTTCTCTTTCGTAAATACTTACCCGTCAACAGCTCCTGTTTCTCCTTTCCGAATTCTGTCCGAAAAGAGTAAAGCAATCAGCACTGCACTGTATTATATACCTCGTTCAGTCAGGTGTCGTACCGTATCGGGCGAACACCCTGGGTTGCGTCCCTGACGCTTCTCGGATCAGGATCGGCACGTAAGGGTTGTTCTTCTTCATGGTTGGGTATGCGCGGTTCAAGAAGGCCCTGCGTGACCGCCAGTGTTAGCATGGAGGGAAATTCTACCGACTGAAAACAATGGATGCGAGATTTCACTCACCTGGTGGCTTCGCTGTGAGGGGAGGTCTGGCAGAAGAGGAACCGGAGTTCCTTCAAACTTTTGTTGAAGGCGTATTTGGCCGACATTGCGAGGAGTCAGATACGTTGGAAAAGAGGAATCGATAGTCTGACCTCCGCCGACTTGTGAATTGGAGGCTGTGACGCAGAGTAGGGCAATTGAGGAGCAGAGCAATCGCAAGCCTGACTGCTGTTTGCTGGAGATCTGGATGGATCCTGCCCGCTCCGACGGAGTTGTAGCCGCTCCAGCCAATCAACGCCGCCGCATTGTCACCGCTTACATCAGCCGGGCGACTCTCCGATTTTGCTTCCGATCGCGCTGTCGTTTCCCCAGCCGGTGAGTCTGATGTCACGTCAGGTCGACACCTCGCGCATTTAATCAATTAATAGCACTTGCCAGGTGCTGGAGGAGCATTTCTTTCATTCACCGTGTGCTGGTCATCACTGAACTGAAGGTTGCTTCTCCGATCGGAGTTTTCCCCGGCTTCCTCTCCCATCTCCACTCAGAAAAAAAAGATCCCTGTTGAAAGCCCATCGTCGACCATCTGTCATTATTCTATATACAAACCCTCTCATCATGTCGTCGCGTGTTGGTCTTCGCTTCTTCCACAATTCCAGAGCGGCTTTCCGCAATGCGACCGCCTCCTTTCGCAGACCTGGCTTCCAGGGCCGTCGTTTTCAGACCACCGATGCCGGCGCCGCGGAGCAGCAGCAGCAGAGCACGTTCCAGCGGTTATGGAACAGCCCTGTTGGCATCAAGACGGTGCATTTCTGGTAGGTTGATACAGTCGCTGTTTATGGTGGATGACGATGCTGACGACTCTGACAGGGCTCCCGTTATGAAGGTACGATATAAACATAACCTGCCGTGAGCGACAACACAATTCTGTCATGGCTATGTCCTATCAGACGAATCGTAGGAATACAACGATTGACAATATGTCTAGTGGGCGCTCGTTCTCGCCGGTATCTCCGACTTCCAACGTCCCGCAGAGAAGCTCTCTCTGACTCAGAACGTCGCTCTGATGGCCACGGGCGCCATCTGGACCCGATGGTGCTTCATCATCAAGCCTCGTAATCTGCTGTAAGTGCATTCTCACATTCATGCGCTGTGGTCGACCTCGACTGACGATTGCAGGCTCGCGGCCGTCAACTTCTTCCTCGGCTGCGTGGGTGTCGTTCAGGTGACTCGAATCTTCCTGTACAGACGCAGCCTCAAGGGGTCGACGAAAGAAGGCGCCGAAGATGTCGCTCATGACGCGTCGACTGTGAAGTCTTCCTCTTAAATAGTTCTATGTCAATCAATGTCTAATATCTTTCCTTTTTCGGTTTCTCTTCCAATTAAATTAACTCTCAGATTTCACTTTCATTGGGATCTTGATAACGATAGGACAGGGACATCATTTTTGTTCTGTTCTGTTTTGTTAGCTGCAGTTATGCATCGCATCGCATCTGGTCTCCATTGCTATGGACGCAAATAATGTTCTAGTTTCTCTAGTTTCTACTGTATGTTATGCATTCTAAGTAATACTAGAAGGAGCAAGCATATGGGCTGCTTCACAATGCTGAGTACAGTAGTCGATACTTGGTAATTCAATCCAGGGATGAGTCATTAGGGTGGGTGTCGATACCCCACACAGCACTACTGACATACAATACAGTCTCTGGTAAAGGTTGACAAGGAGCTAACTCTCTAATTATTAGTAGACCTTTTACTAATCCAACTTACTACTTTCACTGATCTGATCTGTTCGATCGATCGATCGTCAACAATTAGTCTTACTAAGATTAGCCCTGCAACAATTGTAAACAGGCAATTGGAATAAAAACAAAAACAAAAAAAATCATATCCATATACTACTACTATATGAACGACAAACATGTAGTTAGGCAGGAAGTGTGTATGTAGATACATGTATTTGGGCATGATACATCTTGGTTCCTGTATACAGTACAGTACAGTACAGTACATACAGCAGACGGGAGAGAGAGAGAGAGAAGAAAACCCGGCGAATGCGGAGAAGAGCGTCGAAATGGACCTTGAATCATATTTTATATATTACACATTAATGAAATGCTTTTGGTGGCGAGGAATTGATTGATACTGCTGGAACTATTTAGGATTATGTGTGTGCAATCTGCAGGGCTGTGCGTGCAAATACACGCATTATATATGTAGGGTAGGTGGTCTTGCATTGATTGCATTTATTGCCTTTCTTTATTTTTTTTCCCCATCGAGTGAGAAGACGCGAGATGGGATGAGATTATTGATTAGATGGATACTAATTGAATTATGCTTCTGTATAATTATAGCCAGCAAGAGAGAGAGGGGAAAAAACAACCGGATGCTTACTGTGTCTGGTTCTAGCGTATATTGATGGACTAATACTAGTAAAAATAAAGGGTCTATTCAAATCATCAAGTTTTCTTTCTTATTCTTATCTTAGCTGAGGTGAGGTTATTTATTTGATTTTGTTCTGTACGCTGGAAAAATAGTCATCACATCGCTAATGCTATGCTATGCTATTCCATGCCATGCCATGTCATCTCCTCTATCTATCTTATCCATCTGTCTCTGTCTATCAAAGCGATCGAGTGATCGATTCATTCGTCTGGTAGATGCAAAACGAATGCAACGCAAGAACGTGTAAAATAAAAAATGCGGGAATGATAATAATAATATGCCGCTGGAAATAAAACTGCCTGCCACTGCCACTGCGCCCAACTAATGCATGCATGCATGTGGATGATATGATACGAAGACCACATCGTGTCCGTAACATGATGTCGTGAGACAAGTAAAAAAAAACGACAAATAACCGATATAGAAGAAGATCATCTGGCGGATGCTTCCCGCGAATCCTCCTTCACATCGTCCAGGACGTGGCTGCCCAGCGACGGAATCACATCCGCTTCCGGGACGGCCACCGTCGCGGGAGACTCTGACCGCGGCAGTGGCAGCGTTGTCCCCCGCGAATTCGCCCTCGGTCGCATAGCCGTCTCGCGCAGGCTCATGCTGCTGTTCTGGCGAAGCCGACTCGACGCTCTACGGGGCAGAGGCGCTCCGCCGACCGGCGACGCAGCGCCGCTTCGCTGATCGTCGTTCCATATCGCGACGTCGCGACTGCTCCAGCTTGCGCGCACCGGGCGCGCACCGTACGGCAGATTCGAATAACTCACGCTCGACCGGACGGATAGGGACCGCCGTTGTGGGACAGGGGTGGACCGGCCTGGATTCTCGTTCTCCCCCTCGCCCTCTTCCCCTTCCTCCGGAATGTCGGTCATGGGATCGAAATGGGGAAACTGCGCAATGTTATCCTCGTCCTCATCCTCAATCTTCGGATATCGCTGGACAGAGTACACATTGAAAGAAGGCGCCTTGGGCTCTTCTGGTTCAGGGGGTGGCGGCGGTGGCAGGTCGAGAGCGGCCTTCTCGACATGTGCCAGATACTTGGAGCGCATGGGACGCCACGACCGCGGATGGAAGCGCTCCTCTTCCCGGTATCGGGAAAGGGACATGTAGCTGGTGATGGCGCCAATGACCACGGAGATGAGGAGGAAAATCGTCAATACCCCCTGAATGACAATGATGACAATACCGATGATCGTGGTCGTGATGCGGTCCAGATTGAATCGAGGATCAAACGCCGATGCCAGCGCGACGGTCGAGACCTTGCTGAAACCCAAAAGGTAGACCATCAGCGCATTCAGCCGCGTGGCCTCGAACGGCCTCATCCACACGATCGTGATAAGCGCAATAAACTCGACAGCGAGGATTCCAAACACCTGCGTCAGGGGGTGGCCGGCCGCTGCTCCAAAAAAGCAGGCACGCACAAATTCGTACACCAGCCAGATTGCGAAGAAAAACCATCGCGTCCTCCGGAATCGGGCGTACAACCACCCGAATTTGCTCAGATAGTCTTCGTCTTCGTGGACAGAGGGTCGCTCCGAATTATCCTCATAAGCAATTCTCCACCACGGCAAAGAGCAGACAAACTTGAGCGACCTGTCTTTCTCACTGAGCTGGCTTTGCCGATGGAGGCTGAACCACGGCAGACAGAGCAGACGCTCCCGTTTCAACATCAGCCTGTCGGGCTGGGAGATGAAGTTTCCAGATCTCAAACGATACCAGAACGCGTATCCAGCCGCGCCGGCCATGCCCAGCACCAAGGCTGCAAACACCACCGCCGCAACCGCTTTGACCCCCGCGGACCCGCCGAATGTGAACTGGAACAGAGTCAAAAAGATCATCATGTAGAACCCGATGAAGACCGTCCTCAGGACGGCAGAAGCAACGTATCGCAGCCAGTGCGCCCGGAAATGGCGCCATCGGTCCTCTTTGAGTACCTTGGCCCGAGCGAGCCCCTCGATTGCTAGTTTCAAAAGGACGACAGCGATAGCCACGCAGCCGATGAGAGCGAGAAACCAAATAAGTCCTGTCATGAACGCATTCGAGGCCGGAATGGTCTCTTGTGCCAATGTTCCTGCAAACCCCGAGTAATTCCCCGGCAAGGGAAGCCCCGGCTTGACAGGATGGCCATGCCAAGGAGAACTGGTCGAGCTGTCGGGGCTTGCTCGTCGATGGATCATATTTTGCACTCTGTCTAATACAGATGGCCCGTGGACCTCAGAAAAGTCGTCTCGCTTGTAGATCTGAGAAATATCAAAACCTCCCGCGAGGGTGTTGTCGGTTACTCCCACCGCGGCCGCACCGCCGACCATGCTAATGTTGCCCTTGTTGCTTCCCAGAAACTGGTTGATCGAGTTCTGCATCTTCTCGCTGTAGATCATTCCTGCTGCCCATGCGTAGTTTGCCCAGAAGGCCACGAGGACGCTGGGCCAGTTCATGGAGAGCGCACCGGTAAAGAAGATGTGATGGAACACGGCAAAAACGACCAGGACAGACAGCGAATGCGCGTAATGGTTG